GAGTGAGAAAACTGACAGAGAACGGAGAGCAAGGAGAGATTCATGCAGAGGTCCCCTACCAGCTAACACAGTGCGGGTCCGCCGTCTTGGACTCTTGTCAGAGACCAGCAAACAAAGGGTACGAGAAAGCAGCCTCACGTAGCGTCCAGCAGGAGACAAAACAACTGGTAATTTGCGGTATACACTTTCCCACCCCCCACCCTTCTTCACCCTGACTCGGCCTCCTCTGCTTCCCGCGGCCACAATCTCTGGACCGGGAAACACTGGCTGCTTGGATTCCACACACCCAAATGGGCCGGCTCTCTGAGTGCCATTTGTTGGCTGCTGGTGGTGCTTTCTTAAACTTCTTTTGATTTCTTCCTTACCTCTCACCACCTCCCCCTCCTTTCACTCAAATACCTGGCTCCGTGCGCCATCTTTGCTTCTTCCTGAGGGGCTGCGGAGCTCCAGTAATTTGTGATATACACTTTCCCACCCCCTACCCTTCTTCACCCACACTTAGCCTCCTTTGCTTCCCGCGAACACATTCTCTTTTCTGGGAAGCACTGGCTGCTTGGATTCCACCAGCCCACACTAACTGGCTCTCTGAGTGCCATTTGCTGGCTGCTGCTGTTGCTTTTTTTCCACTTCTTTAGATTTCCTCCTTACCTCTCACCACCACCCCTCCTTTCGCTCAAATACCTGGCTCCGTGCACCATCTTTGCTTCTTCCTGAGGGGCTGCAGAGCTCCGTTCGAGTGCGGAGCTGCTTCCCGGTCTGGGCTGCCGTGCTGGTGGGATCCTGGGCTTTGGCTCATTTGTTTGTTTGCAATTGTTTGTTTGTTTTCTTTTCCTTTTCTTGAGTTGGGAGCCCGTTCTAGCCAGGCGGTGTTGCGTGGCTTGGAAGTACCCCTTTGGCTTGCTCAGATGTGCAGAGGAATCCCTGAGGGCATTTCTTTCTTCATTGGGTTTTTTTCATTTTTCCTGTTGTTTTTGGAGCTTTTCTTGTTCTTTTTTTTTTTTTTTTTTAAATTTGTTTTGTTTTCTTTCCCCCTCTTTTTCCCTTCTTGTCTTTCTTCATTGCTCAGTTTCTCGTCTCTATATCTTCCTTCTCTTTCTGTTGCCTGAATACCTGGCGTAGTATACCTTTATGCCTTCTAGCCAGGCTGTACTGCAGCACCTGAGAACAACTTCCCCAGACCTCATGGCCGCACTGGTGGGATCCCTGGGAACTTTGCTGTTGTTTTCCCTTTCTGATTTTTATTTAGTCCTTCTTTTCTTTTCTTTTTTTTTTTCCTTCCTCTTCCCCTTTTTGTTTTTCTCCATTTCATAGTCTCTCATCTCTCCACTCGAACAGCAAGTTCCCTAAGCATTCTTTCTTGTATGTTTGTATGTTTTTGGCTCCTGTTCCTCTCTCCTCTCTCCCATATCCATCTTAGCTCCACACATAACAATCTTCCTGCTACATCCTGCCTACCTGCACCATGCACTTAACATCACACCACCAATGAAAAACTATATTCCAACAAATTTGAAAACCTAGAGGAAATGGATAAATTTCTAGAAACACACTACCAACACAAACTACAACAAAGTGATGTTGAAAATCTGAACAGACCCATTAAGAGGGAAGAGATTGAAAAGGTAATAAAAAAATTCCCAACCAAAAAAAGCCCAGGCCCAGATGGCTTCACTGAAGAATTCTACAAAACATTTACAGAAGAGCTTGTACCAGTACTACTCAAGCTATTTCAGAGCATAGAA